GCAGACAGGCATGGCAGGCATGAAAGCTAGTCACATCTCTTCGGCAGCACCTCTCCCTCATGCTCAAGTACACAGGCCTAGCGTGTGGCGCCGCTACATCTCATCGTAGTTGACGGACAGGTACCCCGCCTTGAGGCGGCCGCCAGTGACGCGCAGCTCGTTGATGAGGCGGTTCCAGTTGGACCCCAGCGCGCCCACGTAGTAGTCCGCCTGCGCCGCCACCATCAGGTTCGCCAGCGACACGGCGCCCGCCAGCTCGTGCCCCAGCGCACTCTCAAACGACACCATGCCCGTGTTGGCCCCGCCCACGCGCGGGTTGCGCGTGTGGTGGAAGGTCCACCCGGGGAAGCGCCGCGCCTCCTCCACCACTGCCTGCCCGCGGGCAGGGGGACGCCGCACGCCCAGGGCGCGCCATGAGGGAGGGCGGGGAGGGAGGGCACTTGGAGCGATGCATTATGTGAGGTTGGCGAGTGTGGGGGGAGAGAGGTGACTTGGTGGGGGAGAGATACAAGGCGAGAGGCGTTGCACTGCATGAGTGGCAGAGGAGATGGGAGGGATAGAGCAGCAAGGCCATAGTAAGGGTGTGTGCAGAAAGGTGCGGAGGGCAAAGAAGAAGCTAAGACCACTTCCCCTCCACCTTGCTCAGCTGCTGCCGTACGCAGCCGGAAGCAATGGTAGGATGGCAGAGGCACATAGCAGGCATGGCAGAGCAGTGAGCAGTGCGCACCTGCATCTCAGTGCTGAGCCACACGTGGTGCAGCGAGGGGTCCTTGAGGCGCACACGTGCCGCCAGCACCATGTACGCCGCCAGGGGAAACACCTCCATCTCCGATGCCTTGTCCCCCGCCCGCACATGCATGCTCAGCAGCGGCCGCGGCACGTAGGGGGGGGCGTACACCAGCGAGGACGATGCACTGCCGGCGAATGCAAGTGTGGCGGCAGCAGCAGCAGTGCTGGCGGCACTGCTACCAGCAGCAGCGGCAGCAGCCTGCGTGTTGCTCACGTCCCAAATGCCCCCTGAGAAAGGCAGAGACTGCCTTGAGATGCCGGCCATGAGGCGCTCGAACTGAGTGCGGTTGGTGCCTGCCATCATGCGCTCTGCCTCCCGCTTCACCGCCTCTCCTGCCACCACTTGTCGTGCTGTGAGTGGGCCAAAGGCGGCATGGCGTGCGATGTTGGTGAGGTGGCAGAGGTAGGGCGAGGGCCAGCGCATGGCAAAGCGGGTGGTCTGAGCGCGCCACCAGCTCACCTGCGCACAGGAGGCGCGCCACCACACACGCACAGCAACGAGTGGGCAGGGTGAGCGTGGCTTGGCGAGAAGCAACGGTGCAGGCAGCAGCGTGCGTGGGGCATTGAGAGAAATCATGAGTGTGGCATGGCGATGGTGCGCGCAGGACACTTCCCATGCGCACTCATGCGTGCAGCAATAGGTTCCCCGTGCCCCCTGCGCGCATCTCACCCGGTTCCACTGGCGCGGCCCCGCCACAGTGCTGTCGCCCACCACCTCCTCTGAGCGCGGCACTGCCTCCCATGGCCGCCCCCACCACCTGCCACACGCACACACATGGGGTGCAGCAAAGCCACAACAAGGCACACGCGGCAAGGAAACACAAGGAGCAGCAAGGGAGTGGTGAGGGCAGTGGTTTGGTGAGGCGCGAGTGTGATGAAGTAGCATGTGGTTCCATGCGGCACACTGTGTGTGGCTCACCCCGGCACGGCGTGCAGCAGGTGGGAGGGAGCGCAGAGGGGCAGCATGACGACAGGCTGGGGGCCGCGCAGCTGGAGCAGCAGGGCGTGCATGACCTCGTGGCAGTCCACCACCATGCCCGCCACCCACCGCTCCACGCCCGCGCCCTCCATGCCCGGCGGCACCACCAGCTCTGGCTGCGCCGCCACCAGCGCAGCCACGGCCTCCTCACAGTGCGCGTGGGTCAGCGGAGCGAAGTAGCACGCCAACGACCCCTCTGCCTCGCCTGCCGTGGGCGGGGGTGAGAGGGCGGCATGGCAAGGGCGGACAGATGTGGGCACAGCACAGGGCAGTGCAGGCTGCCTAACAGCTCACAGGTTCGCACACAGAAGCTGAGGCAGAAGCGGGGGAGGGCGAGGAGGAGCAGAGAGGAGTGGCGAAAGAATCGCGGTGAGCATTGCAGAGAGAGCAGGGAGGGGGGCGGGGCGGGGGTGGGAGGGCAGGGCACCGGAGCAGGCGTCGTGGTGGGCGCGGAAGAAGTTGCGGTGCGGCACGAGGATGCGGCCTGTGGCGAGCGCCACGCCCATGGCCACGGACAGCAGGTGCACGTCGGACCCCAGCCCGTGGTCGCCCTCGCCCGGCCACTGGTACAGCACGAACCGGTGCTTCGGGTGCTGGCAGTGCCGCGGGAACTGGTGCAGCCACAGCGCCGCCTGCACCACGCGCGTGAACGGCAGGTTGTCTGCGTCGCTGCCCTGCACCTGTGGCATTGGGGTGCGAGGTGAAGAGTGGAGGAGGGCACGGGCGTGTGGCGAGAGGAGGGTGCGAGGTCATGGTACAAAGCAGTGCAGGCGCGGTGCTTGTGGGGCGCGCGAGCGGAGCAGAGGACATGCACGGGGGAACGCAAGAGCGAGGGCGGGGAGGTGAGCGGGGGAACGCTGCTGGAAGACACTGCTTCTCTCTACCCAAATACTGTGCTCGCCGACTCAACACATTGTAGGAGGCAGCATGGTGCGGTGGGCCATGCCCCACCCGTGTCATCTCACCCACGGTGTCTGAGGAACTGTCGCCCACCTCTCCTCCTGCCTGCGCCCCGCCTCCCTCCCCTCACTGCGCTCGTCGCCTTCCCCAGCGCCCGCCCCTCTCAGCCCCTCGCGGTACCCTTTAGGGTCAGCAGCCTCTGCAGCGGCGGCGGCAGTGGCGGCAGCAGCAGGGGCAGCCCAGGGTGGGGGAGAGCCGTCGGGCAGGCGCTGCTCCAGCAGGCGCTGCTGCGCTGCTGCCGCCTCACACGCCACCAGGTGCGGCGCAGGGGGCACTCCGCCACTGCTACCGCCTGCATCCCCACTCTCATCCACCTCCGGCCATTGCTCCTCCGCCTGCTCCTTCACTCCGTGCTTCCGCCTCGCCTCCTGTCGCCCCCGTCGTCTGTGTCGCCTGCGCCTGGCGGCAATGTGAGCAGCGAGGGCGGGCGGCAGGGAGACGGAGGTGGGAGCGCTCCAGCGGTGCTCCAGCCCATACGCTGCCGTCCACGCCTGCACCACGGGGGACACGTGCATGCACGCGCGCACACGGGCCAAGCGTGGAGGGTGATGAGAGCGCGGGGGGAGCACAAGGCAGGCGCACGGTAGTGGCCATGCGTGCATGAGCGGCACACAGAGGCATGGCACAGCGCATGCTCCCCGCTCCCCTCGCACTTGCATGCCATGCGGCCATCACCCCCCTGCTATGGCACTCACATCATACAGAAGCTCCCATTCCTCCTCCTCTTCCGCCGCCGCCTCTTCTTCCTGTCCTCCCCCTCTCCCCTCTGCTCTTATCACTGCACTGTCTCCACCGTCCCCTTCCATCCCCCTTTTGGGCTTCCTCGCCACCCGCCAGAAGTCTTCCTCCCACGGCAGCGTGCGGTTCTCCCCATGCAACGAGAAGTGTCGGATCACCGTCACTCCGCCGCTCCCCGCTTCACCCTCCGTACGTTCCCCTGCCGCGCTGCCTTCCCCCTCTTCCCAATGCCCCACCTCTCCCGCCCCGCTGCTCCCCTCATCCCCTCCGCTCCCCAATTTCCGCCCCTCCTGCGCTTGCGCCTCATCCGCTTGTGCTACCCCGTCCGTCTGCGCCGCGACGTTCCCCAGCGCCTCTTGCGCCGCGACCGCCCTCGACAGCTCGTCCTCCGAGGCCCCCCCGCTTCGCCGTGCGCGCCATGGGCGGGTGAGCGCGCGCGCTGTGAAAACGCCGGCGGGAGAATCTCCGGTGGGAAAGGCGGAGGTCTGCCGAGGGGGACGGAGGGCGGACCAGCGGAGGCGAGACAAGGCGAGGAGCGGCAGCAGCAGCAGCACGGCGACAAGCAACACGCGGAGCAGCGGGGTGCGGCGCGCAGGCGAGCGCGGTGAGTGGGCGATCGCAGTGGCGCGACGGGACGATCGGGGACGAATCATTGGCGCCGGCTTACAACCCAGCACGCACTCGAAACATGCGGCGGGCGTGCGCTAGCACAAGAAACATGGCGGCCAAACCGAAGTTGCATGTGTGAGATTTACTGTTCATTCGCCAACATCATTAGTGGTAAACTTGGTGAGCTCACTTCGTAACTGCCCTTCCTAGATCAACATTTCAGTATGGACAGTACAGGAACCATAATTTGCACAAGAGAATAAGAGGGGCGGTGGCGACGTATACAAAGCAGGGCCATGTGTGCACCCCAAGCTCCCCCTCCCACATGCAAGCACTTCCAACACACGTCCCCCGTGTGCAGGCAGTGAAGGAGCGCGCATGGAAGTCTGTCCGCCCCCCACCATGAGTCGTCAGCACCACACCATGCTCCTCCGGCAGCGTGCGTGCGTGCGTGACCCCCCCCCATCCCCCGTGCAGCGCTCATAGCAAGGGCGGGAGGATGCCGAGCTGGTGCAGGATGCCACGGCCCGTGCTGACCTCCAGCAGCAGCAGCCCCAGCACGGCCACCATGGCGGCACGCCCGTTCCACGTCTCGGCGCTCTTGGTCCACCCCCACTCCCACATGGCCACGGGTGCGGGCAGCTCTCTCCGCTCGATGTCGTACGTGGCCAGCAGCTCCTCCACACTGCCCAGTGGCACCAGCGCCTGCATGCACCGCACACGGGAGCAACAAGCACATCATCATCATCATCATCATCATCATGCTGCCTATGAGGGGTCCTGCCACGGGTGGGCTGCTAGAGTGCTGGCCAGCAAGCACAGGCATGGAATGCAGGGAGGGCACGGCAAGCACGTGGCATGGAGAGCGCAGCACGCTGTGGGCTGTGGTGCATGTGGGCCAGAGCCAGCACACCCCATCTCTCCATACTCCCCCACCATGCGCCCGCGCCCCCACCCATGCATCCGTGGCAGGCGAGGTAGAGGGAGGGAGGGGGGTTACCTGGCGGGCCTCGAGGGAGGAGGCGGCCATGGCACCGACGTAGGGCAGGGCCTCGAGCACGGCGTCCGCCAGGTCCTCGATGAACGACGGCTCACACCCCAGCGCTGGCACTCGCCCCCACTCCACCACGCCCGACGCCAGTGCCAGCTCGCGGTACTCCATGTCTATCTCCTCCAACGTCTCTATGTGCTCGCTCACAAAGCTGTGCACGCCCCGCCATGCACCCACACACACACAAGGGGCACGGGCAACCAGGGGAGAGTGAAGAGAGGAGGGGGTGAAGTGAGGTGCAGCAGAGAGGGGAAATCCAAGTGCAGAGGCACAGGGGCCTGGCTAGGAGGCAGCTCTCAAGAACAAGCAGCGCGCAGGTAGAGGGAAGCAGGGGGGCGGGTGGGAAGGGAAGGAGAGTGCACCTGATGGGGACGGCGAGCAGGCTCTTGACGCCGGCCTTGCCAAGGGTCTCAATGCTCTCGTCTGTGTACGGCTTCAACCACTCCACTGGCCCCACCCGACTCTGATACCATGGGCCCCACGCACGCACAAGGAGGGGGGGGACGAGGGCACACGCGCGTGGTGTGAGCGGGCAGGGTGGGCTACTGCTGGCGAGCACAAGACGGCACGTGGGCGCACAGGCGTCACTGCAGCATGCTGGGCTGCAGGAGCATGCACACGTGCACGCGTGCTGCTGGCGCATTCCTGCAGCTCCTGTGTCATGCCACATGGTGTGTGCGTGCAGGGCGGGGCTATGCCTGGGCAGCAGTGCGGTGCGAGTGGGCCCTCTGCACACATGCTATGCTACCACACCCACCAAACGCGCCTGTGCTGTGAGCGTGCAGAGGAGCAGGGGAGAGCACGCGAGCATGCATGCATGAGGGGGGGCGGGCGTGGACCTGGTAGGCGAGGGTGTAGTTGTTATAGACGCCGCGGCGGCGCAGCTCGTCCATGACGAGCCCCACGCACTCCTCCATCTCCGCCTTGTACGGGTCGCCCGCCTCCTCCACGTACGCCACCGGCACCCCGTGCGCACTGAAAAATATGTTCACCTGCCCGCCCCGCCCCCCCCCACCACCATGGCCCATGGCACACGGCGAGGCGAGCGAGAAAGTCAGTGCGGGTGCGCATGTGTGTGAGAGAGCGAGAGTGAGAGACTGTGTGAGGGTGCGAGGTAGGTGCAATGCAAGAAGCGTGGGGGTCGGGGAGGGGGGGGGGGGGGGGGTTGTGGGCAAGAGCAGGGTTTAGGTACAATTTCTGGTCGTGAGAAGGCGAGCAGCTCCTTTTCTATGAGTGTGGCCATGGCCTCGACGTAGCCGCGGCGCTGGTACCAAGAGGGGATGACGGTGTGCTGCATGGTCACCAGGTACTCGTCCTCCCTGCCATGCACCCCGCACCCCACCACACACACACACAGGGGGAGAGAGCGAGTGAGCGGGTGGGCGGGTAGGTGCGGGCGATGGGGGAGAGAGCGCGAGCGGATGGTGGAAGGGCGCAGGAAGGGTGGCGAGGAAGGGTCAACATGGCACACGGCACGCCGTGAGTGGTGGCGCTGGGCGACGCGGCGAGGCAGCAGCGGGTTGGGGGGTTGGGGGGCGAGGGGGCAGGTTGGGAACCTGAAGATGCGTTCGAGGAGGCGCAGCGAGGAGCCGCTGGTGGTGATGGAGAACTGCGGGTACAGCGGCAGCACCACCAGCCGCGTTATGCGGTCCTGCTTTATCTGCCACCGCGCACACAGAGGGGGGGGGAGAACAGGGGCGGCAGGGGGGCAGCTTGAGCGAGTGGCGGAGACAGGCATGGCACAAGTGAAGCGTGGGATGAAGCGCGCATGGATGGCGATACGAGCAGGGGGGCGGGGGCGATGGCCTATAGTGGGTTAGAGGGGTTGGGGCGGGACCTGGTAGATGGCCTCTTCGGTGAAGGGGTGCCAGTAGCGCATGCCCACGTACACCTTCGCCGCCACCTCCTTCTTCTGCAACGCCTTCCCCAGCTCCTCCGCCTGCCGCGCACCGCGCATGGCGCACAGGAGCGGGGAGAGGGGGGAGAGTGGGGGGAGAGGAAGGACAGACGGGACGGGCATGAAGCAACGTTGGTGCTTGGTGGGTGGCACCTCCTCATGCCATGCCATGCACAGCGGGGGGAGCGAGAGGGCTTGGCGGAAAGGGAAGCAACGGCAGGGCAAGGGGGTGTGGTGGTGGATAGATGGATGTAGACATATGACACGTCACTCATGGACTCAAAGAGCGCGAGCGAGTGCGAGAGGGAGAGAAGGGGAGGGATGGATGAGGGAAGCGGAGGGAGGGACGAGGGAAAGGTAGCGATGGAGGAGTGAAGGGGAAGGAGCGGGGAGGAGAAAAGCGGAGGGAGGGGTAGGGAGTGGGAGGGAGAGAGGAGGGCACTAGTTGGTGTGACCTTGTAATTCCCCTGGCACTTGGGCTGTCTTTCCTGTCTTTGCATCGTTCTTCAAACCCCATACCCCATATCGCCCCATGCCGCATGTGTTACCCCCCCACAACCCCACCTGGTCCATGGTGATGCGGCGCAGCGGCGAGCCCCCGCCGATGGCGGCGTACCCCTCCTGGCTCTTGGGCGCGCGCATCGTCGAGATGAACTGCGCGATGGGCCGCTGCAGGAACCGCAGCGCGCGCGGCAGCCGGATAATGTCCTGCGCGCAGGGCGGGCGGGGGGAGGAGGGAAACACGGGATACGCGGGGGCGAGGAGACGCAGCGTTTAGTACGGCGACAGTGCGTGCGTGGTCAAGCAACCAGAAGAGCGAGCGCAGGTTCGGTGGGACGCCAGGCAAAGCGCCTTGGCACCCGACCTTCCACTCGTGAGTGAGTGCGTGGGTGCGAGGCGGCACACGGCAGCAGCGTGCGAGGGGACTGCCTGCGGGATGCCCCTCGTCGCACGCAGCGGACGCCTGCGCACGCCACGGGCGCAGCACGCGAGGTGGCGATGGGTAGAGGGGCGGAGATGGATAGGAGGGGAGGGGGGACTGACCGGGTCGGCGAAGAGGTTGAAGAGGAACGGCTGCACGTCGTCCAGCGTGTCGGGCCCGCCCAGGTTCAGCAGCAGCACGCCCACGCGCTCCTCCGCCGTGCCCGCCGCCTCGCCCGCGCCCATGCCGCTGTCGCTCGCGCCGGGTCCCGGCTCTGCGACGGGCCCGGGCGGACTCGCCATGGACACGGCGGCCACGCACCCGCACCCCCGCTGCGCCTGCTGCCGCCGCTGCCGCTGCGCTGACAACTTCCCGGCCGTCAGCTTGCCGCCTAGCCGTCTCGCAATTGCGGCTGTTGCTCCCGCTGTTCGCCATAGTTGGCCCGTGCGCTGCCACGAGTCACTCCCTAAGCAGAATACGCATCCTGTTGCCCGCCTGCTGCTCATGCTCGCGTTGCTTCCGCTGCTGCTGGCGGCTTTTCTTGTGACGCCATGAGTTCGAGTGGCGGCGGGGAGCTCGGGTGTGCTTCTATGGACGCCCGGGCGCTCTGACGGCAGCTGCAGCACCGAGCGCGGTTGCGACGGGCTGACAACGGGCGAGCACGGGGAAGGGGAGCACCGGCAGCGGCAAGGGCCTCGGGAAAAGTTGAGCCAAAAATGAGAAAGCCGCGTTGCTTAGCACAAAGCTTCTCAAAAAGCATGGGCAAGAGCGAGCGCGGGCAGAGAAGCGCGGCATACCTGGAGGGCAGGGAGTGATGCGTGCGCGGGCGTTTATCAGGTGGCGGAGTGGGCGTCACCGCACAGCCTGCCACTGCACACACGGGGACGACGCGCATGGCATCAGCAACGTCAGCAGTGCACAGACGCGTACAACCGGAACGCACGGCTCACTTCAAATTTGAATCCACTCCACAAGACATCGGATTGAGGGGAGTAAACGCAGTTAAACGTTGCCACACTAGCAACAATCAAGTGTTGGAGCCTTCGATAGAGCAAAAGAGAGAAAAATAGAAAAGAAACCTGCAGATGCCAATCCTTTCTTTCTCCTACTAAAGCTCGCAAGGCCGGATCCGCGACATGAGTTGCTACAATACGACGAAAGCGTCACCACGCCATGATCAGAAAGCGCCGGGCGGATAAGATTATGCACTACGGCCGCCGTCCATTGACTAACACCCTTCCGCGCGCTAATACGCCCTCCAGAAACGGATTGTGCACGAATTGCACGACATGGATGCGCACGCGCAACAAAGATCGGTTTCGAGCAGACAGCGGTTTGCATATCGAGGCGGCAAGGGAAGCGCGACTGCACTAGGCTATGCGGCACGGGGTACACCTTAGCGACGCTCACCGCGCTGTGCGCCGAAGAGGCTTGACATGAGCCCTGAATTCAAACAGCTCCGACAATCCACACACGTCAGCTACTGCGTCTTCCCCAGCGACCCGCCCTCCGAGCCCAGACCCTGTCGCTTCAGACGGATCGACGCGAGACACGGAGGCTCGGATCGCAACCGAAGAACAAGGAATCCCACAGCACGCAGGGCGAGTGTTTGAACTTCTGTGCCAGCGATGTAGCCGAGGGTACTAATGCGTGAATTCTGGTGTTCGTATGCCGGCAGCGCTATGAGCTCTGTTAGGTTAGGTCTAGCCGCTCCACGCCTCGCACACTGCAAGCCCTAGTAGTGACTGCTAGGACACCCTTCCCTTGGTTTTGCCGCAGTTTCGCACGGTTCTCGCTAATAGAGGTAACGCCTTACTATTCGCTTCACCCCTCCTGTTCGATTCAGCGGGAACTTGGTATTGTTCCACGTCCCACCTCTGCCACATATTCATATACTGACCAATCAACCTTCGAGGCGAGGTGTATGTGTGCGTCCGTTGCCATGCACACAGGCTACCTCCTGATAAAGTCACCCTCGGCTGCTCTGCTCCAGTGTGTCCATTTGCTTGGTTTGGGAGAACACTTTTAGTGTGACTAGGCAGGCCACGTGGCATACTAAAACACCGCTGCAGACGAATGTGCTCAGGGAAGGGACGCAAGGTTCGAGGAAAACGCCGAGCTGACGCTGGGACGCCACGGCGCCTCGCTCATCCAAACACCATGCCAACGAGGTTCGGGTTCGGCCTGGGTGTCATGCCACATGACAAATCCGCCCATCTTCGCAAAGCGTCTGGGTTCATTGCTAGATGAGAGGTGGGTTCTTTCGGCGATATTCGACGAAGAAGAGCGACAGCGACACGAAAGCAAACCCCGCAATCCTCCGTATAGCAGGCCCCGGTTACAGACCTCAAACGAGAGCACACATTCGTCGAGTGGTTGTGAGGGTATTACCACTGCAAGCCCTGTCAAGAGTGTTGATTATTGGTTAACTAAGGGGAAATTGTTACGAAACGAAGTCAAACAAAACCGGAAAATCCAACCAATTTCGTCGAAGGGTTGGGTCGGGGATGAAAACACAGTTGGCCAGGAGAGAGAAGTGGTAGCCCCACCTCCAAGTGATAAACCATTGCCTCCCAATGCATGTGCACCCACGCCCTTTAATTTCTGCTGCGATCATAAGTTGATCGTCCCTAGGATCACCTCGGGAAGGTTCGCACACTACTGAGTAGTGGTGGTGGATGTAAAATGCTTGAGAAGATAAAAACATGCAAGTACATGAATATATATAAGAGTACAAGGGAATTCGAATCGACCTAGACTAGCCATGTACTCTAAGGGGTACATTCCCTTATTGCAACGAAACTCAACCGTGCGACTCCAGACGGTTACGAACTGCCTGGGCAGAATCCTCGCCACTGCTGCTGCCTGATGCTGTCTGCCTGACGGTCCAAATCCTTTCGTAATCGTACAACCCTTCGCGTCACTTCCGCCTTTTCGTCTTCAGCCTCGTCAGTGCGTGCTTCGATTGCTGCGGTAAGGAGTGCACAGTAATGCTTCATATTTTACTATTCATAACACCCCCCTTCACTCCTGGCCGAAGCGAGTCTTGACCTGCTTGACTACTCGGCTGAGTTCGGAGCAGTACTGGTACTGCTGACGCGACAGTCGCTTCGTGAGGAAGTCGGCTGCCATGTCACCCGTCGGGCAATAGGTGAGGTCAACCTTGCCCTTGTCAACTTCGTCCTTGACGAAGAAGTACCGTAGCGCGATGTGTTTGGTGCGGTTGACGGATCCAGGCTTGTTTGCGATCCTGATCGCACTCTGATTGTCGCAGTGCAGGCGAAAGTTCGCCGAGGTTGGGATTTTCGCCTCCTGCAGCAGCTCCTGAAGGTAGAGGCCTTCGCGAACAGCTGCTGTTGCTGCGATGAATTCGGCTTCCGCCGACGACAGGGCAACCAGCTCCTGTATCTGCGAATTCCAGGAGATGGGGCCGCTGGGCTCGAGGCGGAAAAGGAAGCCTGTCCTGGACCGTCGATTGCCCGGGTCAGCGGCATGGTCAGCGTCCACGTAGCCGATGAGGTTGAAGGACGTGGTTGGGATGGTGGAGTAGCAGAGCCCAACATTGGGCGTGGAGATGAATAACTGGAGTGCCCACTAAAGATCTAGCAGATTCTCATCCGTGCCTGCAGGTAACAGATGCGAAGAGTAGGCATCCCAGCTGCTGCTGATAGGTTTGAAGCCCAGCGGGGGACAGGGCTTTGTTGTCGGGCTTGTGGTTGGGTCCTCGAGTGCGGTAAGGGGTGGAGAGTGGTGCAGGCGCAATGTTGAAGCGCTTGCCAAGTTCCTCTGCATACTTGGCTGCTGAGAGGTGAATGGCTTCTGGCGATTAGGAGATGTTGAGCCCGAGAAACTGCTTCACGTCATGGTTGCAGGTGATGTCGACGCGCCCTGCGAGATTCTTCTCGAACTGCTCAAGCAACTCGTTGCTTGACCCTGTGTAGAGGAGGTCGTCGACGTAGACCGTGAGCAGGATGTATTCGCCGCGGAAATCGCGGCGATACATGCCGGGGTCGTGAGGCAGCTGTTTGAAGCCTATTTCGAGCAGGATGTTGTGCAGGTACTGCTGCCAGAGCCTTGGCGCCTGTTTGATCCCGTAAAGGGACTTTCGCAGCTGGCACACCCGTGAGTCTCCCTCGCCGTATATGTGCGGCTGCTCCACGTAGATTACAGCATCTACTAACGCTTAGAGGAACGCGTTCTTCACATCGATCTGTCGGAGCGGGAGATGTCGTGCAGCAGCGATAGCAAGAAGGATTCTGACGGAGGTGCGACGGCTGACCGGCACAAATGTCTGGTCGAAGTCGATGCCGTGCCTCTGGTCGTAGCCACGTACGACCCAACGTGCCTTGAATCGCTAAATCGTGCCGTCCGCTGTGGTCTCACGCGGAAGACCCATTTCCCGGAGAGAATCCTTCTCCCCTTGATTGCCGCTCGATCGACGAGCACCCAAGTGTCGCGGTACTCAAGTGCCTTGATTTCCGCATCCATCGCCTCGCGCCATTCCTTGCTGTATGGTCCCGTGAGTGCTTGGCGCGGATTTTTTTGCTCGATGACACGTGGCGCCGTTGAGGTGGCGGTGTGGAGCCCGAGAAGTTGAAGTCCAGAGACGGTGATGTCGTGGCGGTGCTGCGGGATGACTTCCTGCACATCGTCATCGTCGTTTTCCGGTTCAGGTGGTGTTGGCGGTGCGGGTCGGCCAGGTCTAATGGTCGCCGACTGCATTGAACCGGCTTCCCCAGGTCGGCGCCACCAAGTCGGCGTCCTCCAGGTCGGCGCCACCAAGTCGGTGCCCTCCAGGTCGGCGCCACCAAGTCGGCGCCCTCCAGGTCGGCGCCACCAAGCTGGCGCCCTCCAGGTCGACCTCGCCTGGTCGACCTCCCAAGGTAGGCGCCCTCCTAAGTCGGCGCCCCTCCCAAGGTCAGCGCCCCTCCCAAGGTCGGCGCCCCTCCCAGGTCGACGTGCCATCACGTCGACCACGGTTGAAGTCGGCCGCCGGCGCCCGTCGTCGGCGGCCTCGCAGTGGCCCCAATGCAAGTCGACCAAGCTCGTCGACCAGCTCGCCCATGTCGGTGTCGCCCACTGCAGTAGGTTGGCTGAACCTCCCGCACACCCGACCACGAAGTCGGCTCCGCCCAAGCGAGGACGGGGCCAACACACAACTCCCGTTGACACAGTTCAGCTCCAATGTCCTCCAGCAGCTTCTTAAGAGCACAATCTCCTTGATGGAGTGGTACATCGCCATGTACTCTGACTCTCCCGAAGACTGAAGAATCTCACTCTGCTTCTTGTACCTCCAACTCACTGGCCCTCCTCCGACCATGCACACAAATCCACGCACATATGAATAATCCTCATCCTCCGAGGCCCATGTAGCGTCGGTGAAGCATGACAGCTTCAAGGTTCCAGGCGTCATCCCATCTGCTCCAAACTGTTTCAGCTGACCAGCAAATGAAAACTGAACACCAGCAGATGCCGTTGATTCGAGGTAGCGCACCATGCGCTTTGCCACCTCCAACTGCTCCTCAGTAGGCCGCTGCACAACTCTAGCCAGCTGAATGAAGCATCAAGTCGCGTATGCACAGCTACATACATCACACTCCCAATGAGTGACTGGTACTCATTTTGCAGCTCATCCTCGAGCACATCATCATCCTTAGGTGCCTTCTTAAATTTGAAGGCCTGCAGCGAACGGCGTCATCACAGTGCGACCCCCAGTGTCACCATAGCGCTCCATCACACCAGAGATGTAGTGTGACTGATGCACCTTCAGCCACCTCCTCTCAACATCCCTCTCAATCTGCAGCCCCAAGTAGTATTGGACACCCCCCAGCAACTTGCACTTGAAGTTGTCCTTCAGCAGCAAATTGCAATTGTACTGGCCACGTAGCGCAGCACCCTCTTAGCAGCTGTCTAGTGCTCCTTCCGGTGTCTACTGGGAGCAACGAAGCGGGCCAGGATGCTGAGAGGGTATGCGAGGTCGGGCCGAGTACAAGTCATCAGGTACATGACGCAACCCACAAGCTCTGGATACGGACCACTCGGCTCTACGGACTCGTCCGAAGGTGGAGCTGAGAGCGAGTGGCCGGTAGGCAGAGGAGTGGGCTATGACGAGGGAAACGGAAGGCGGAAGCGCTGAAGGACCTGCTGCACCATGTGTGATTGAGTCAGAGTAATGGTGCGCGCTACTCTGTCCTGAGTGATCTGCAAGCCAAGATAGTTGCGCAGCTCACCCAGGTCAGTGCAAGTGTGTCTCTTCTGCAGCTCCGCCTTCACAAGGACCAGTGCCTCAGTGTCCGCAGTAGCAAAGACCAAGTCGTCGACGTACACGATGATGTAGAACGGCGGCAGAGAAGAGTCGGTGTGTAGAAACAGCGACGTGTCAGCAGTCGAAGGAGTAAGCCCATGAGCCGCAAGTGTAGTCCTCAGTGTGTCGTGCCA